TTTAATGTTGTTCGAACCTCTAACTACAATGATATCTAATGTTGTTTGAACCTCCACTATCCCAACTACAATGATATCTAATATTGTTCGAACCTCTATTACCCCAAGTACAGTATCAAGTAATGTTGCTCGAATCTCCACTATCCTTGCTAGGTAAAAAGATATATAAAGGGTTGCTTTTACCCTTTCCTGCCAATTCTAAGTCCCTATACTTTAACCTAAACCCTTCTACCTTTACCCCTAACTTGTAAAAGTGATATTCCCCCTCTAGGGTAATTTCTACAGGCAAGGTTGTCACTGTGTGTTTATTTAATAAAAGCTAATCTATATACTGTTACTATCTCGAACCGTTTGCCTGCTGCTGTGTAGTAAAGTGAACTACTACACTTCCACCCCGTATATATTTGCAATAGTCAATCACTGTACTGGGTGACCTTGTTACTTGGTTGTATCGTACCAAGAAGGCTACAACCCTGTAACAATATAAGCTATATATTGATCAAAAGAGCAGGTATGAAAACACAAGAAATCTTTAAAAGCTTCGCAAACCTATACTTGAAGATAAGAGAAATTCTAACAAAGTGGAAAATAGCACAAGTTTACCTGATACTGAAAAATATAGAATGGGAATATAGTTTAAACAACATTCACCCAATAGCACTTATTGAAACATGTAGAAAAGTTGTAACAAAGATAGTAACAAAAGGGCTTACCAAAATATTTATGGAAAGAGAAATACTCAAAGAACCAAACTTCGCAGGCCTTCCAGAAAACTCAACAGAACAATCAGTACAAATTCTAAATATAATAATAGAGGAAGCAAAAAAAAAAGATAAAGAAGTATAGATACTATTGCAAGATATGAAAAAGGCATTTGACTCAGTTCTTCTTAAAAGTTTTGAACTAGCATTGCAAAGAGTTAAAATACCCAAAAGAACAGCTAAATATATTTTAAAGTTGTTTCACAAGAGACAATTAAGAATAATTACAGCCTATAGCTTAACAAAAAAACTAACAGCAGAAGATATAATAGACCAAGGTGAAGTAATCTCACTATTAATATGGCATCTCTTTTATAATCCATTACTAGAAAGAATCCAAGAAGATGAAAGTTTGGGGTATACAGTTGAGCAACGAGTACAAAAAGATATGCAATGCAACAATATTACAAGATATCATCAAGTGGCAATTGCATATGCAGATAATACAACATGGATTGCAAATAGTAAGAAACAGCTATTAGAAATTCTAGAAATAGCTAAAGAGTTTTTTGAAATGAATGATATAAAGATAAATAGATCAAAGTCAAAATTAATAATAATGAACACAAAAATCAAAAAAGAAGAAAGAACAGTAATATATAAGAAAAGTAAAATAACAGAAAAACCAAGATATAAAATAATTCACTCATTAAGAATATGGCCAAACAGTAGAATGTGAGAAGTACAAGTAAAAAAGAAAGCAAAGGGAATAGTAAGCCAGACTATAAGAGATCTAAAGTATAAGAAAATGACAATGAGCCAGATTGTATATATAAACAATATGGTAATAATACCCAAACTAAGCTATATGTTATAGTTAACAAAGATGTCAGACAGAAGTCTAAATAAAATACATCAACCAATAATAAGTCTGGCTAAGCAAAAGAGCAGTTTACAAAGAATAGTAAAAAACTGTATAATGGAGCATAAAAATCTTGGCAGCTGTAGAACATTGTGACAAGAGTTAATTGTGAAGCAAATAAGTGGCCTTATAGCAAGACTAAACAGACAAGACAGTCTTAGAGAGTTAACAAGACTAAGAATAATGCAAGTCTGTCAAAGAGCAGGCTTAACAAAAGATATATGGAAGACAAAAGAGTGGCCAGAAATTGAAATATATTTGAAGAATAATTTAGCATGCCTTACAATACTCAAAGCAAGAAAATTAAAAATAAATATTAGAACAGAAAATAAACTATGGTTAATACTCAGGTATAGTGCTAAAATACAAGAACTAGTAGATGCACAATTGTAGAAAAAAGGAGCAATCAGAGTAAATGAAGCTGGTTTAATATATTTAAATCAATTACTCAACACAAGAGGAGAAAAACTAATCATATAGCAGCAACTCAAAAGTTATCAAGACCAATTAAGTAAAGAGAATAAAGCAGAATGGTTCAAAGCAATTAAGTCAAAAGTGCTCAGTAGTCCAGAGAACAGAGCAGTACAAAGCTACTTTAGAATGGGTGAACAAAACACTCAGGCAATGCAAGTCAAATAGGAGCATATATCAGAAGATAGAAGAAGAAAAGAATGAATATTATATGGTATATGAAACTACAGACAGCTTGAAAAAGTAGTTAAAAAGAAAAAGAAAAAGTATTAATTAAATATTGGCAGATGAAATACAAAAAGAATGAAGTAACAACTGAGATTAACAGATATGAAGGGTATAAAAGTAAAGAAGAACAGATAAAAAACAGTTGCTAACAATAGATAAGATTAAACAAAAATACTCACATAATTCCAAATAGATTAATAAGTAAGAGCAGTAATAAGATTAAGATAGCTGTAGACTAAATGACAGATAAGACAGAAATAGACAAATTAAAGATAAGTGAATGCAAACTAAAGGGTCTTACAACAATAGAAGAACTAGAGATAGAAATTATCAAATGACAAAAACTGGAAGAAAATATTAGTTAAGAAATAATAGAAATTCTAAAGAGAAACATTATAAGAAACAAGAGCAAATATATAATATATACTGATGGCACAACCAATAGAAGAGATAGTAAAGAGCCAATATCTAAAAATAATATGAGTATAGGATGAGTCCAAACAAATGAAATGCAAAAATAGCCAGAAAAAGAGATAGCTTTTGAACTAAAAGGATGGCAAACATTAACAATAGCAGAGTTGGTAGTGATTTGGGCAGCAATTCTAATGATACCTAAAGAAAAGCAAATAGAAATACATACAGATAGTAATGCTGCAATAAGAAATATTGGTAGAAGCCTATAACAAGCAGACAGAAACAAGATTATTAAGAAAAAGAATGCAATATGGATAATAAAGATTAAAGACCTCATCAAGACAAAAAACATTCAAATAGAGTTAGTTAAAGTTAAAAGTTATAGTAAAGATAAATAGAATAATAGAGCTGATAGTTTAGCAAAAAAGGGAATGACAAGTAGAAAAATAGTACAGGCTGAAAGAGTCAGTTGTAAAGAAATAGAGTACTGCCTAGAGTAGGAAAACAGAAGAACTGACATACCAGCAAGACTGCTTTGCAAGTTAGTAACAAATGCAAGATTAGGAGCAGAGTAGAAAGAAACAAGAGCAATTAAAAGCTTAAAGCCAGAAGCAGAAATCACAATTTATGATTGAACTTATTTTTGGAAAAGACTAAAGACGACTAAGAGAATATACTGCACAACAAGAAGAAGCAGCTCCAGAAGAAGTGCGTTTATTAAATGCATAATAGATAAACTTCTGATATTAGAAGAACTTAACAGAAGAAGGCCAGATATATACACAACAGTAGAATGCCAAGTATGCCAAGATAAAGTGAAAGAGACACAAGCACACTTGGCAGCATATAAAGGGCAAAGAAATCTCTGAAAGAGAATCCAAAAAGTAACCATTGCAACAGCATAGAAGAAGTTAAAAGAAGATGAAAAGATTCGAATTCTCCTATACATATTATATATAGTGCTCTTTGAAAAAACAGAGACAGAGAAAGTTAAAATAAGAAAAGCATTAATAAAAGGCTTAATTCCAAAAGAAACGCAAGACGAACTAGTGAAGCTATTAAACACAAGATCAAAACAGCAGTTTGCAAATACAGTAGCAATAATGGCCTAGGGCACATTCTATGAACAAGTATGAAGAATATGTTGTGAAAAAATCATCGAATAGAAGAAAAAAAGTGAAATAACAGGTAGAACTAAAAGGAAAAAAGGTGAAAATTTAAAAAAACCAAAAAAACAAGAAAAGGCAAATCAGAAAGAAAAAGAAGAGAAAAAAGAAGAAATGAGAGAAAAAGAGAAGCAAGTTGAGAAGGAAGTAATGAAGACAATGTTGAGGCTTGTCATAAAAAGGAGAAGACCCTTTCATTATGAACTTTAAGTAGTTAGATGAGCAGCTTACTTCTGTTCAAAGTAATGTGGCAGGTTGCACTTAGGTACCAATAAGGTGGCCAAGTGATGCTAGACTTAGATATTAGAGATATTTATGTAGTTACAAATGTAATTTCAAAAACCTAATAAAGTACTAGCATGACTGCTTATATGTTAAAAAAAAAAAAAAAAATTAACAAATAGAAGATCCTATATATTCATTATCATTATATGCATTTTTTTTTTTTTTTTAATATTTAATTTAACAATTATACATAGCATATACAACATAGCAAAATTTATAATATTGATATTAATATTTAGTTGAGCTACCATCAACATCATCATATGCTTTTACTTGACAAAGCATACTATTAATTATTCTGCGATAATATAAAAGTAGAATTGAATACCAAGCAGCTTTAACTTTTTCTTTCAGGTCTTGAATACTTGTAGGGTTGTCTGGAAAATTATGCAAACATCTTTCAACCTCTTGCTATATATTTTCAATTGAATTCATATCTGGGCTTTGAGTAGGCCATAGTAATACAGAAATATTAGCATTTCTAAAAACATTTTTAACTTTAGAACATGTGTGAACAGGTGTGTTATCTTGTTGAAAGATGCCTTGCTTATCAGGAACTAATTAACATACAACAGGAATTGCATGCCTTCTTAAAAGCTTAATGTAAGCTTCACTATTCATTCTACTATGGATAGGAATTATTGGTCCTAGCCCATGTCATGAAAAACATCTTCAAAACATATGACTAGGACTGTGTTTTATAATAGAAACAAGACATGATTTATCAAACTCTTTAGTTGAAATATGTCAAACCTGTGTATTGTAATTTTGTGAAAACTGTTTGAAAACTGATTCATCTAACCAGACCATATTTCACCATTGATGAGTTGACCAGTTTAGATGATCTTTTGCCCAGGTTTGACATTTTACTTTATTGTTTACAGAAATTAATAGCTTGTGATGTGCAACACAAGAACAAAGACCACATTTTTTTAAAGCATGATGGAGTGTTGAAATAGAAACCTTCTGATTTTTTTCTCTTTGCCATAAAGCTTGAATTTCACAAATAGTTAGATGATAATGCATAGCATTTTGTGTAACAATTTGGTTGAGTTCTTCTAAGGCAGCTTTATTGAAAATAGGTTTTAGACCTGGACATTTTTTTGGTACTGTAGAACCTGTTTTAGTATACTGTTTTAGAGTATAATGCATAGTAGTTTTACTATACTTGATATTTTTAGCAATAGTTGATAATGAATCTTTACATTCATGATCATAAAGAATTTCTCCATGCTGAAAGTTAGATAATTTCTTTTTTTTTGCCATTACGAGGTGATAGAAAATAATAATCAAAATTTCTAATTCTTTTTATACTGTAATAGTTTTCTTGAATTTATATTATCATAAATATGAAATTATTATAATATGGTAAATCAAAACTCTATTAGACTATTATAATTTATTAGACTTCACTATGATGAGCTAATTTCTATAAAAATTTAACAAAAATTATAGTAGCTAAAATGACTAATAAATTCATTTAATAGACTTTGGAATTATTTGTATCATTTATAGTTTTTAATTAATTTACTAAAGATGCAGACATTTTATTAATATTAATTTAGTATATAAGTAGGTCAAATATTTTTTAATTCAAGTATTTAAAATAAATTATTCATTAGTGTTTACTATTTAATTTTATTTAGATTTATCTCTAAAGTAGCCTTTACTTATTTAAATATCAAAAATAAATTATATTTGGGTTATAAATAATTACTATTTAATATTATATTATAAGTATTAATTTAACATATAAGTAAAATGAATATTTATTAATACAAATATTTAAAATAAATAATTATTATTGTTAGAGTTTTAGTTTATGTAAAGGCTGTATGAGGCTTAAGTAATAGTGCGAAGCCTCTAATAGAACAGGCCTTTTAAGATTGTAAAATGTATAAAAACACAGGCTGTCTTATTTAATAAAAAAGGAAGAAGTTAACATATTTCTTGATAAAGTAATATAAAACAATGATCTGCTTTTTCTTTATTCTCAACTATTATTAATGCTTGAATTTCATCTAGTTAAGTAAGATGTCATCACATCCTAACTATGTTAACTATTGGAACTAAACTGTGCAATGTTCTCTATTCTCCCAATTTACAATAGTAACATTATGAATGTTTATTTTAATTTAATTTTAGATATAATTATAAAGAAGCTTCTATTGACCTAAGTATTTAAATAAATTATATCTTAGTTTATAAATAATTACTATTTAATATTATTCTACAGTATTAGCATGTGAGTAATAAGTATTTAATAATTCAAGAATTTAAAGTAAATTATTTATTTAACTCTAAATAAGCCTTTATTAACCTAAGCATTTAAATAAATTACATTTGAGTTTATGAATAATTACAATTTTATTAGCATTAATTTAATGTATAAATAAAAAGAATATTTATTGCTAAAAATTTACAATATATTATTCATAAATATTTACTTTTTAATTTAATTTTTGATTTAAACATAAGAAATCCTTTATTAATCAAAATATTTACAATAAGTTATATTCAGGTTTATAAATAATTACTGTTTAATTATTTTATTGATATTAACTTATTGCTAATATGTGAGTATGAAAACTTTATATTAATTCAAGTATTCAGGATAATTTATTTAAACTATAAATACTTACTATTCAATTTCCTTTTATAAGCATTGAAAAGTCTTTATTGGACTATAAATTATATTTAGGTTTATAAATAATTACTGTTTAATTATTTTATTGATATTAACTTACTGCTAACATATGAGTACAAAAAAATTCATATTAATCCAAGTATTCAGGATAATTTATTCAAAACATAAATACTTACTATTCAATTTCCTTTTATAAGTATTGAAAAGTTTTTATTAAACTAGGAATTTAAAATAAATTATTCAGGTTTATAAATAATTACTGTTTAATTTATTTTATTAATATTAATTTACTGTTAATACATGATATAAGAATGCTTATTAATTCAAGCATTAGAATAATCTATTCAAGCTCATGAATAATCTTCTTTTATGAGTATTAAGAAGACTTTATCAGACTAAGTATTTAAAATAAATCATATTCATGTTTATAAATAATTATGTTTAATTTTATTCTATTAGTATTAATTTAGTGAATAGAATATATACTGTATTATTAATCCAAGTATTTAAAATGAACTATTCATAAATACAGTATTTACTATTTAATTTCATTTTGAATTGCAAATATTAAGAAGCTATTATTTATATACGTATAGTATATAAAATTTATAGTAATTTTAGCTAAGTGACTGCCATTATAGCTTATCAGATAATTTTAGCTTGGATTATGAAGAATTTTTATTTTTAAAATCATTCAATAAACTACAATAGGTAAAAATTAATAGCATTAAGGCTATTTTAACTCAAGTAAAAAATATTTATTTATTTTTTTATTTATTTTACTATATATTATTCTTATAAGCAATTCTGAGTTAAAATAGCCTGATACTATTAATTTTAGCTATATGGTTACTATTAAAGCTTATCAAATAACTTTAATTCAGATGAAGATAAAATTTTATAAGAAGCAAAATAAATAAATAAGAGAATTCTATTTTTATCAAAGCTTAAAATACTCTATAAGCTAATAATAATAGTTGTATAGTTGAAATTAATAATATTATCAGTTAATAGGGAAGTATACTGTATAGTTTATTTTAAACTATTTTAATTAATTTTTTTTATTTAAATTAACTATACTTTTTATACTAACTACAAAAGCATTATTATCTTAAGAAATTTAAACAATAGTAGAGTTTTTGAATTAAGTACAACACAAAAAAAAAAGATAAATAGCTGTAGCTTGAATTTTGCTTAAATTAAGCTACTACTGTGCATTAATTAAAGTTTTTTTTTGATATCTTTTGGTATTATTACAATATTTAAAACTTAATTTAAAGCTAAAAACATGTCTCAAAACTGATACTGAAGTTTAGAGACAAAAGTTTTTAGATAATACTTATTAAAAGCTTACTTGTGATTTAATTAGTGAAAAATTATATTATTCTTGTTTGTAATAATAATCTCATTCATGTAGTATTATTTTTATAACTGTATGCAAGTTAGTTCTTGTTTTATTTATTTGTGAAGGCATTTATTCTAAATCAGTATTATGTTTGATTCATTTTTTAATAAACTATGCATAATTAGATTTTTTTATGCATATTATTAAAAAAAGATTATCTTCTGCATTCTAAAACAGAGTAAATTTTTAGGAGTTAATATATGAGAAAAAAAGTTATTGCCACATATATAGACTGTTCGGTAACTTGTAGTACCCTCCTGTAACTACTTTACTAGGTTATCACACTTTTTTTATTAATAAATAGTTAAATTACTCAAATTATAAAGGTTTATTTTCTGTATTATCTATTAAAATCCAAGTTTTACAAGATTTTTACTAAAATACTAATATATTATACTAAATATAATTCTGAATTTAAATGAATTTGTATATTATTTTTTATCAATTTTATCTAATTCTGCAACTTCTGAGTAGATATGATCTTTATTAAGCAATATATATACAGAATACCATAACAAATTATCATTAATATAGGCTGCAAAAATGATATAAGTCTTATAGTATATAAATCAAAACTTAAAACAAAATGAACAAAAATCTTAATTTTTTTAAAAAAATTGAGTAAGATAAAAAGTAATATTTTGAATAATGATTATATTAATAATAATAATGATATAGATGATTTTATGATAAATTTAAATCAAATTTACAAAAAATTAATAGATAATATTCATATATTTAATATAAATAGTGAGGAAACTATTTCAGCATTTTTAGATATATTTGATTTTAAAGCTGTTAAAAAATTATTAAATTTTTATATTAATTAATCATATATATAAATTTAGAGTTACTTTAAATGTTATTAATAATAATTATAAATAAAGATTTTTTTAGATTATATTTAAAGTATATACTTTATTATTAATAAAAAAAATTATTAAATAATTTCTATAGCTATTTTCACAAATATACATATTTTTATAAAAGAAATTCATTTTGAACAACATTTTGAATTAGGTCATTAAGTTCTAAAAATTGTTCAAATATCATGATTATTAATTTTGATCATTTAATATTTCAATTTTATTAGCAGATTTAACTGTAAGTATAGCAATTATTTTATAATCTTTTTTTTTATAAAATTAGTTTAATTTAAGTATATTTTATTGTAATTTAAAATTTCTATTAATAGATATGCTATAATCATTATTTATTAGCTTAGTGATTAAATTCTAATATTTTTTTTTTAAATATTAACAGTAAGGCCATGCCTTTAACTTTATTGAAATTCAATTGAAGTTTTTACAAAGAAAAG